CACAGAAGGTGCACCATGTATATTTATGCTCACTAAATTTACTAAATTCGGTCAAACTTCATGCCATTTACCTTGAAAGTTGTTGAAGATACCTATTCCCTGTGTTCTGTTTGCAAGAATATCAAGAGCGAGGGATTCTTTGTAGTGAAGAATCTTTTGTTACAATCTGAAGTATAAAACCTGGCTTGAGTCAGGTTTTATACTTGATTCAATTGATTCATCCAAAGTTATTGAATAGTATTTGTTTTCCTTTTGAAGTATTGCAGTTTTTCTGTTAACCTGAAGGGCTAATTCATGCTGCTTATCAGTTATGGTTCTTTTTGAAAGAGACAGTTTTATGTACTTTGAATGTTACTGGTGTCTACGCATCCTACAACTTCGAAAGTGCATACTTTCACAATTTCTACATCCGAATGGCTTCCCTTTCGGGAAGTAGCCAAGCTACTTTATAAGTTGCTTTAGTGGCATTAGACTTGTTGCTACTTGAAAGAATTGTCTTTGCTTTTGCTTTTCATTTTTTAACTTCTGTAATACAAGCTTTCGCTTCTAATTTAAGTATTTGTTGTCCTTGTAAGTGTTATAATGCTGATAAGCATTGAATTAATTTCTTTAATATTAATATTGCAGTTCCCAATTCTCATTAAAAAATCTGTTTTCTTCTTTCAGCCTTCACTTGGTGTCTTTTGATGTGATGGGCTATTAGCTGACAGAATTAACAAATGCTGTTGAGCTGTGCAACTATTTACAAATTCTGCTTCAGACAGAACCACAGTGTACTATTGTCCAAAGCTGCTGTCCAGTGCTGGTAGCAGGCTGCTGTGCTTAACCCCCATTAACTTCTTGCCACCCAGTCTTGTGTGGTAGTGACATAAGTCAGGCTAGGGAAGTTAGAACTAAGTCCTGAGTGTAGTAGCAAAGTAGCCCTTGTGGCTTGCTGATGTTCTAATTGTGTTGGTCAAACTGGGAGGATTACTTTGTTGAAACTTTTTGCATTCTTTGGTATTTTAAATATGTTCATTTTAAAAATAAATATAAAAGACGAATAAAGATGTTTTACAGGCAGTCCCTGTGTTACAGATATCCTACTGATGTATGACTTGAACTTAGGAATGGAGGCTGTTACAGATAGTAGGTAAATGTACCTCATACATCTTACACACAAATTCAACTTAAGAGCAAACTTACAGAAGCTATCTTGTTCATAACCCAGGGACTGGCTATAATGAAAATAAAGGGATTTGTTCTGTAAAATTTGGATCAGAAGGCAACACTTTAAAATATAGAAAGCCACAGGTTCCCACCCCTGGGTTGGACTATCTCTTAGGTCACAAAAAAAGTCTTAACAATCCTAGAAAAATATCAAAATTTTATCAAGTACTTTTTTTGACCACAATGGAATATACTTAGAAATCAATAACAGAAAGAACTTTGGAAACTGTATACATTTATGGAAGTTAAACAGTATGCTCTTGAATAATGAATGGGTCAATGAGAAATTACAAAAGAAGTATAAAAATTCCTTTGAGACAGAGGGAAATGGAAATAATGTACCAACATCTGTGGGGCATGTCAAAAGCAGTTCTTAGAGGGAATTTTGTAGCAATAAATGACTACATTAAAAAAATTAAAAGGCTTCAAATAATAATGTCACCTCAATAAATAGAAAAGCAAGAAGAAACCCCAAATTAGCAGAAATAAAGCTTAAAAAATACCAGTAATCAACAAAAGAAAGAATTCGTTTTTTTAAAAGATAAAATCAGCAAACTTTACCTAGACTAAAAGAGACCCAGAGAAATAAAACTGGTGAAGAAAACCCAAAGGGAGACATTACAACTGATACCACAGAAATACAAAGGCTTGTTAGAGACTGCTACAAACAGCTGTATACCAACTGATTGGAAAACCTAGATGAAATGGGTAAATTCCTAGATAACACTAACGTTGAACCAGAAAGAAATGGAAAACCAGAATAAACCAGTAACAAGTAAGGAGACTAAGTCAGTAACAAAAAGTCTTCTAACAAAAGCCTTGAAACTGCTTTACTGCTGAATTCTCCCAGCCATTAAAAAAAACCCAATACCTAGTCCTCTAAATTATTCAAAAAAAAATTGAAGGGAAGGGAATTCTCCCAAAATCATTCTGTGAGACCAACATTACTCTGATACCCAAATTAGAGAAAACACAAGATGTCTCCTTTTTAAAATCTTGACCAGTGTTTGAGCAGGGGATAGAGATGGGGTGGGGGACAGGATTTGGCTGCACATTCAGATACTGTTTTTTTATTTGGACTTGGAATTCATTCAGCTGGAGAATGTCAAGGATTACCATCTTCTGCTTTCTCAAACATTTGAGGGGTTGTGTATTACTTATAACACAGGATAAGTAACATTGGAAGGTTGCTGGACCAAGCAATCTGTTTTTGTGTTGGAACTCTTATAGTCTCTAACCCATCCTACATCCCTCACTGTTGTTTATAGTTAGTATGATTTCTGCTTACTTGATAAAATGTATTTGTTTAAGAGGAAGACTACCTAATCTAGACCAGGTGCCTGCCTCAAGTAGGGAAGCTAACATGGTTCTCTGCATTTATAAATGTCCAATATTTTCCCCTCTGGAATTCTGTTCCTCAAGGCTTCATTGCATCTACCACTTATCATTAGCTACAAACAAAATGTCATAACCACAGGAGTAAAGGCCTTTCTTTTCTCAATCCCAACCTTCAGGAACAGAATTATTTTTTAGTAATTTTTAGTTACATTAAACTACTTCTTAGGCTGGGCATGGTGGCTCACGCCTGTATCCCAACATTGGGAGGCTGAGGCAGGTAGATTGCTGAGTTTGAGACCAACCTGAGCAAGAGTGAGACCCTGTCTCTAAAAAATAGTCAGGTCCTGTGGTGGGCGCCTGTACTCCCAGCTACCTGGGAGGTTGAGGCAAGAGAATCACTTGAACCCAAGAGTTTGAGGTTGCTGTGAGCTAAGATGCTCTACCAAGGGTGACATAGTGAGGCCTTGTCTCAAAAAAAAAAAAAAAAAAAAAATTACTTCTTGAAGTCTCATAAGCTCTTGACTGTTTAACAACCAATCTTATCTATGTAGATTAATATTTACCTCCCTTCCATTCTGTATCTAGGTCTTTAAAAAATTGATTGCTATACCTTTTGAGACTATTGATTAAATTTTGCATTTTTGCCATGATTAAAAATTCCTAACAACTTAACTATAGTCACCCTACTATGCTGTGGAACATTAGCATTTATTCCATCTATCCAGCTACAATTTTGTACTGATCAACCACTCTCCCTATCCCCTTCCGACTCCTGTTCCCAGCTTCTAGGTTACTAGAAGGTTACACTTCTAGTCTTTATTTCTGTGTGATCAACTTAAAGGGTTCTAAGCAGGGGTTTAAGGAAAGATGGCTTAATGATAAGTTTAATTCGGAGTGATTGGCCTCACTGCAATATAAAGGATGAGTGGTCCAAGTACCTTGGGAAGCCAATTTGGGGGTATTCTAGGATAGATGATAGTAGATTGAAAAAAGAGCTCCAATAGAAAATGTCTAGCAAAATTTTGTCTAGCAAAATTAACTCTCATAGTTTGTTTTGAAATCAGTGATTCTGAGGCTTTGATACCAGCATCTCTTTGAGCATTATTTTTTAATGTTGATGCCCAACTTCTATCTAAGACACAACTGTTTCAGGGCCTCTGGGGAGGATGTTCTGTTCTATTGTAGTCTGAGAAGTGCTACAGCTGATGCTGAACTGTATCAAAGCTTGAGGCCCTCTGGTTCAGGTTGTTGAACGTTAGGTTTTCTTGTGGTTGAGTTCATCGGAAGATGATTATGATATAGCACAAGTTAATGCTAGTCTTACTTTTAAATATAATGTAAAGTTTAACTAGGATGTTTTAGGATTCTAAGTGCTAACAATGCATTAATAAGGCAGGACATGGAAGAATTAAAGTCATGGTTAGTGGACTGGAGTGTGATTACAAACAAAACTTTCATAATGTAGTTAACATTAGCAAACTTCTTTAGGAATTCTAGGAAAGTGAGTTACTGGGCAATAAGAAGTTACATTGTGCATACTTCTAGGGCTGAGATATGTCTTGTTAAAGGCTGTATGCTTGGTGCCTAACACAGTGCCTGTAGAGGATTCTTTTTAGGTCAATAAAATTTTAATATGCATTTAAAAAGAAAATTCCTAACACCAAAAAGATACAGGAATTCAAGTGGAAAATTCACCAAAGTTCTAAGTAGATTTATTTGAACCATATTCTGTTCCAACTAGAATGATTTTATGATATCTCAATACATAAAAATGTAAGATTTTAATGTAAAAATTTGGGAATGAGTCTAGGGCCAGTGTTGGTACACATATGGTGAGGTTAGAGTGGACAGATGATAAAACGTTGCCCCATCCTGCTCCAGGTTTGGTGCTTGATTCTGATTCTGCTCTCACTTTTCCCCTTAGCTAGATATTGTTGTACTATCTGTATAACTGCATACAGTACATCTGAATCAGGAAAATTTTTAGTTGCTTCCTTATAACAGATGGGAGGGACTTGTAAAAAATTACCAACTAGCAAATTCATATGTTGCCACTGTCAGCATGTATTTTTTGTTTGCTTGTTTGTTTTTTAGAGTGGGATCAGTTTGTGCTATCACTTTTAACTTTATGCTGAACTATAAATTAATATCTCATGGAAAGTATTACTGAGAAATTTCTGTAAAAAATTACACATATGTAAGTCTGAGGGGGCCATGAGAAAGTAGTGGTTGGAGACAATAAAACTAAACTATTTGGAATTTGTGTTCTGATGCTTTACATTTAACAAGTACTGAAACAAGTTGGTTGAATGTTCTGAAATAAATAAAATCAAGTCCTTACATTTATGAAAGTGGTTCACCTGTCACTTTAGGAGGAACACATCTATATCTTGTGACGCAAGCACGGTACACAGTTGTTAGAACATTAAAAAGTTCTGATTTTTGTTCCATAGGCATACTGCAACATCCAGATGGCACAGTTTTGAAACAGTTACAGCCACCTCCAAGGGGCCCAAGAGAGCTGGAATTCTATAATATGGTAAGTGAGGTAAGCTTTGTTTTGTTGTATTTAACATATTTCTCAGTTTTTTGTGACTCACAGTAAGAAATACATTTGAGAGCCTGTTCTAGTTTACTGTGTGTGTGTAACAGAAAAGTATCATGTAAAAAATGTTTATCTTTACCATATATGTTGTTGTCTAGTATTTTCTATTCTAATTCATTTCTTAAAGATTCTTATAACTTAGTGATAGACATTTCTTCTCAGGTTAAGAGAACTCGACTGGTCTCCCATAGCTCAGTGGTTAGGGCACCAGCCACATACCTGCTAGTGGGCTGGTGGGTTTGAACCTGGCCTGGTCCTGCTAAACAAACAAACAAAAATAGCTGTCACGAAAAAAAAGCAAAAAAATACCTGGGCATTGTGGTGGGCGCCTGTAGTCCCAGCTACTAGGGAGGCTGAGGCAAGAGAATCACTTGAGTCCAAGAGTTTGAGGTTGCTGTGAGCTATGACCCCACAGCACTCTACTGAGGGTGACAAAGCGAGACTCTGTCTCAATTAAAAAAAAAGAGAGAGAAAGAGAGAGAATTACCCTCAGCGTGAGTCAAGGTTTTGTCAAGACAAACAAATGGTACACTCTGCTATTTTAATAAAGAAACCATTTACAAAGGTGTGGCCAAAGTTTACAGCAATCTGCAAAAGATAATAGAACGTTACACTATCCCTGGGCCTGAAGAAACAAGGAGGGAGAGTAGTTCCTGGATCCTAGGGAAGTTAACTTTATGGGAGACATGACTTGTAAGGAGAGAGCTAGAAAAGTAAACAACCTGACCTCAATTCTATTTCAACCCTCCAGTCTCTTGCTGGCAATGGCAAGAGGCAGGGAACCATACTGATAAGTTGATACATGTCAGCCTCCTTGGTGGAGGAGAGTGGAGGGGGAAAGGGAAGATACATAGCATCTTTACTCTTTTTTTTTAAAGAAACTTAAAACATGAATGAATAGTGAATATTTTTGGCTACCATTTCTGTATCTATTAAAATGATTGTCTGACCTTCTTTCTTTAATCTGTTAATATGGTAAAATACCATAATAGATTTCTATATTATCGTCACCTGTCATTACTGGAAGAAAGCCTACTTAAATATGTTTATTTATTTTTATTAATAATAATATGCATTATTAGATTTTGTTCAGTAGTGGTTGATTTTTTTCCAGGTATGGGCATAAATGAGATTTAGCTATTATTTTCTTCACATACTGTCCTTCATCTGGCTTTGATTCCCATTTCTTTTAGGTTCATAAAATGAGTTATCTGCTTTATTAAAGAATTTTTATCAGATGAGGGTTTTGTTTTGTTTTGGATTTTTTTGCAGTTTTTGGCCAGGGCTGGGCTTAAACCCACCACCTCTGGCATATGGGGCCAGCGCCCTCAGATGAGGGTTTTATTCCCTAAAGACATGGTAGAACTTAACTATAAATTCATCAGAGCAGCCTGTTGTCCATCTCTGTCTCTCCCTGCCTTTCTCTCCTTTTTCTTTCCCTTTTTCCATCCTTTTTTCCTTTCATTATTTCCTTTTACTTATGAAGGGACAGATTTTTAACCAAGGATTTAATTTCTTTAAGGTCTTCAGATTTTTTATTATTTATTTATTTATTTATTTGAGACAGAGCTCAAGCTGTTGCCCTGGGTAGAGTGCCGTTACATCACAGCTCACAGCAACCTCCAACTCCTGGGCTCAAGCTATTCTCCTGACTCTGCCTCCCAAGTAGCTGGGACTACAGGTGCCTGCCACAGTGCCCAGCTATTTTTTGGTTGCAGCTGTCATTGTTGTTTGGAGGGCCCAAGCTGGATTTGAACCCACCAGCTCAGGTGTATGTGGCTGATGCCTTAGCCGCTTGAGCCACAGGCGCCAAGCTGCCTTCAGATTTTTTAATCTGTTAATATGATAGTAAAATACAGTTAGATTGTATTTCTTTTATACAAAATTACCCACTTGGCAAAATCCTTCATAGTATTGTTTAAAAACCATGCTATTTGGGCTGGGCATAGGGGCTAATGCCTGTAATCCTAGTTCTGTGGGAGGCTGAGGCAGGTGGATCGCTTTAGCTCAGGAATTTGAGACCAGCCTAAGCAAGAGTGAGACCCCATCTCTACTAAAAATAGAAAAACTGAGGTAATAGGTTGGTGTGACCTATCATGACGCCACAGCACTCTACTCAGAGTGAGACTCTGTCTCCAAAAAACAAAACAGAACAAAACAAAACACGAAAAACACATACGTAGTTATGACTCCCTTTTCATTCCTAATATTGGTTATTTGCTGCATCTGTCTGTTTTTCATTCAGTTTGGCTGCCAGCATTCTTGGAATGTAGTGATTGGGAAGGGAGAAGGAAGCCAGGATTTGCACTGTTCAGTATTTGGACTTTTATCTGGTCTCCATGTTTCATTAGCAGCTCTGTCTGGTCCTGGAGTTCAGAGATCCTTTGGTTCAAATGTTCAGTGTGAACTTTGGTGAAATCCATGCATCACTGCTTAGCTTATCCTTTCTTGTTTCCTCTAGGATACCTGTGAATTTCCTTTTTTTCCTTGAGAGCTCAGATATGAATCTAAGAAAATATTTGTTATATTTTATTCTACATTTCTAGATAGAAAATTTTTTAGATTATCTTATCTGGCGTGTTGCAGTAAACATGAGTCCCACTACTTAATCTCTTTACTCTTTCTCTTCTATCTCAGAACTAAACCTTGAAGTTTAAAATACATATTTGTATTTTTTCCTCTGCATTTTACAGAGGTGATACATACAGGTGTATCTTATTTAATTTCAAAAACTGCTATACATATTTGTATGTAATGCCTTTTATCTTTTTCACTTACAAATATATCAAGGACTTACTTAAAGTACATAGGAATGTACTTTATTTCTTCATCTTGTAATTAGATCATTATGAACGCCTTGCCTTTATGGTCTTTGTGCCAGAAATGGAGGAATGTTTAGGTATACCTGCTTTTAATTACCTTGCCCTGGAAGTGACTAATATCACTTCTACTCACATTTCATTCTGGGAATCTGAGAAATACAGTGTATCACATGGATATTTGATGAGTCTGCCAGACCCCAGTTTATTCTGCAGAATTGTTGCATACAATTACTTGACATGAGTATGATTAAACATATGTAATTAGATTCTAATAGTAAGTTTTTATAAGCATTTTACGCTAGTAAACTTTAATGGTCTTAAATAAGTAGGTAGAGTATATTAGAGCATAGTTAGAGAGATTCATTGGATAAAATGTCTTACATTTTTCTTTTAGACAGAGTGTTACTTTGTCTCCCTGGGTAGAGTGTAGTAGCATTATCATAGCTCACTGCAACCTCAAACTCATGGGCTCAAGTGATCCTATTGCCTCAATCTCCTTGTAGTTAGTAGTACAGGTGCGAATCATGACTCATGGCTAATTTTTCTATTTTTAGTAGAAATGCAGTCTCACTCTTGGTCAGGCTGGTCTCAAACTCCTGAGCTCAAGCAATTTTCCCACTTTGGCCTCCCAGAGTGCTAGGATTAGAGGTGTGCACCACTATGCCCAGCCACAAGCAGTTTTTAAAACAAAAATATTTTGTTTCTCTCCTAGGAAAAAAACCAGAACTTGGTTCTTTGGTATTTGAAATTTCTAGTATCTTATGTGATTATTAGTGGTTATAGATCAAATTAAATGAACAATAGTTAGAGACGTGTTAAAAGATAATTTTTTTTTAAATGGTAACATCACAGTTCTTTTATAGATACAAAATAAACACATGTTAAAAGATTTTCTTTAACTCATTATTTAATGAGGGAACCAGGCAGATGTTAAAACTGGTTCAAAACAGAAGTCAAAGAATTATAAACTTACATGGAATAAAGGGAGAGTGAATTGAGTTTATATGTGGACACTAAATTCCTTCTTCGTGGAGCACAGAGGGAAGTTAGTTTGAATGTCCTGGCCAGAGTTTATTTGCATTTACGTGGACAAGAATTATGTTACATTTGCTCTAAGTTATTTTACAACTTAGTTACAAAATAGTTCCAGGGCAGTGAAAGGCTAGAAGAGTGTACTCTAAATAATACACTCAGTAATTTGAACACACACAGTAATTTTTTTCTGCTTATTCCAAACTTACTTACAGTTGACCAGATAAATCACAATTCAGTTATGATTCAGCGCAATGTTTTATTTGAAAAATGTGCAGAACAGTTATAAACTATTATAAGAAACTAACAGTGTTTTTATTTGAAAAATGCAGAACAATTATAAACTATTATAAGAAACTAACAGTGTTATTTGTTTTAGGTTTATGCTGCTGATTGTACTGATGGTGTTCTTTTAGAGCTACGAAAATATTTGCCAAAATATTATGGCATCTGGTCACCTCCCACTGCACCAAATGGTAATCTTTTCTTAAAAATTTATCTTTCGATTTTAATTCATGTAGAGTGGCTTTTTCAAAGGACTTACATAAATTAAGCCTAGTTTGTGTTTTTAAAACATAAAATACAGGTGTTTTTTTCCTGATCTTTATGAAAAAGAACATTTTATTAATGCTTTTGTTTTCACAACCATTTCTAAAATGGAATATGCAAGTAAGTAATCAATCTGTTATAGGTGAAGGGAAGTGTGTGTGTATGTGTGTGTACACAGTAGTACTTGATGTTATATTAATTTACAGATTTTTTAGCGATTTATCGTAAATGTCTTTTCTTATTTTAAGTAATAAAATAAGAAAAGCATTCTCTCTGTATAACTTCCTTTCTGTTTCCTACTCCTTCATCCCTCACCTTTGGGCTTTAAAATTGTAGTCTTTTACAAAACAGAGGTTAGTTTCATAGATGATAAAATGACCTATAAAAGGGGTCACTTAATTTTTCTTAATTTTAATTAATACTTGAAGCGGTATTTGCTCCTTGAAGGCCTTTAAAGCTAGAGCAGACAGAGTTTATTTAAATGTGCCGCTTGACTACCTAATCTTTGATGAAGTTAAATTGAGGGGAAAGGGCTTTAAACTTGAAAACCTATGATTTTGTCCAAATGCAAGTATACAGATTCCACTCCTAGATATTTTAGTTATACAGGTTTATGTCAGAGTTTAGTGCTATTCTTGTTAAATGAAAGTCATAGGTTTTTCTTATGTAGAAGAACTCCATAGGGTGGAGTACAGTGGCATGATCATAGCTCACTGCAGCCTTTAACTCCCAGGCTCAAGCAGGCCTCTCACATCAGCCTCCTGAGTAGCTGGACTACAGGCCCATGCCACTCTGCCTGGCTAATTTAAAAAAAAATTTTTTTAGAGACAGGATCCAGCTGCATTGCCGAGGCTAGTTGCCTTCTCACGGCCTCAGGCAGTCCTGCCTCAGTCTCCAGAGTTACTGGGATTACAGGCATAAGCCACTGTACCCCGCTGACATAGACAGGTTTTGAACTACATTTTCGGAATACAAAGGGAAGAGGACTCCAGTCTGAACTTGTTCCTTTCCTTCATTCTTATCTTCCTTTCACTCTGACATTGAGTGCCACCTTTCGTTAACTGGGGGTTGTCGTTTTACCTTTGAGTATCCTCTGTTAGGTACTGTATTCTGTCATGGATAATGTGTACATTTTGCCCAAAATTTTGTGAGAAGAATAAGGATGTGTATTATTCATGGGTAATGCTGTTTGTTACCAGTACATAAGATTTCTTGTACCTTGTATGTGTTCTTGTGTTTTGTAATTATTTGTTACATACAATTTCTTATGTTAAAAAATAAATGCTAAAATTACTTTGTAATACAAAAAAACAAGTGCATTAGGGCAGCGCCTCTGGCTCAAAGGGGTAGGGCACTGGCCCCTTATGCTGGAGGTGGTGGGTTCAAACCCAGCCCCGGCCAAAAACTGCAAAAAAACAAAAACAAAAACAAGTGCATAAATATAAACAAAAATTTGAATTAAAAAATTTAAAAAATAGATTTTTTTCCTCGAAGTTTGGGTCCAAACTATGGGTGTGTATCCTACATTGGGAGCACATTATATATGGCAAAATACAGTAATAGTGAATTGATGGCTTCCGTAGGAATTTAAGAAAAAGAAAAGAAGAAAGAAGAAAGTAAGCTGATGCTTTATGAAGTATTTCTTTTTCTTTCTCCTCTACCCATTTCCTTCCATTCCTTCCTTATTGTGGGATTAAAGGTCTTTTAGTCTTAAATATATATACTTTTATGATTCAGATCAGCATTTTGCTTAAATTACTTTATAAGTCATTATGATTGCCCTTTGGTTATTGCTCACCTTTTTTTTTTTTTTGGATATACAGCCTTGTTCTCTTGCCCAGTGAGCATCACAGCTCATTGTAACTTGAAACTCCTGGGCACAAACCATCCTCCTGCCTCAGCCTCCTGAGTAGCTGGGACTACAGGCATGTACCATCATGCCTGAGTAATTTTTCTCTTTTTTGTAGAGATGGGGGTCTCACTCTTGCTCAAGCTGGTCTTGAATTCTTGACCTCAAGTGATCCTCCCACCTCTGCCTCGCAGAGTGCTAGGATTACAGGCGTGAGCCACTGCTCATATGCTTGTATATGCTTGTAGAGATCCTTTTGCATTATAGAGCTTTTTGTTGTAATGTCTTCTTCCCCCCTCCTTTTTAGTTTTTTCCAAGTCATACTTTCCAGGAATGCTATGATATATAAAAGGTAAAGGGAAGAAGAATTTAAAGTATCTAAAATGTCATTGAACTTTGCTACTAATTGCTGTTTAATTTAGATTGAATCATCATTCCTAAGTAAAGTGACACTGAAAGATTAACAGAAGTTGCTGAAGATGATGTTTGATTAGAAATCTAGATAATTAAATGCTTAGTAAAAAGAGCATTTTTGGTTGGAAAGGGTGAAATAGCTGAACAAACAGTGTCATTACTTGAAAAATAGAGTATATGAAAATAATATGTATGAGAGAAGAAATTCTTTAATTAAAATAACATTTTTTAGTTTGGGGTTACTAACACATGATGTAAAAATCAAGGACTTGCTGGCAATCAACCGTTTTGGTCTTTGATAATGAATAATCTTGAAGTTCCTCTATGTTGTAACTTTGAAGTCAAAAGACTTGACTTCTTTCTTGGTTATTTATAAGTTTTGTGAACTTGGCTAACTCAGTAACCTTTTTGAGCTCTATCTTGTGTAAATTTAAAGCAGTACCATGTAGACTTGTCAAGAATTGTTATGTGAGAATGTTTTGTAAACTCTTAATTCTCTTGTTTGAATATGACTAGAGATACTGGTGCAACTAGAATGAGAAGATGTGAGGAAAATAAGAGAAGAGAGGAGAAAATGTAAACAGAAAGGGAAAGAGGACAGGGAATAAAGTACACATGATATACAGTGGTCTTGTAATATCAACAGTTGCTTCAAGGGATTTTCTATTCCTTTCCTACTTTATTAGCTCTGAAAGAAGTTGGATAAAACTGTTGGACTGTGCAGATTGTTTAGTTTTGATCTTGCTAGAAAATTCATAGAATCATCTTCTGTGTGGGTACTTTTGATTATAAATGAAAGAAATACAAGATGGAGAACTTGGGTGGCACCTGTGGCTCAGTGGGTAGGGCGCTGGCCCCAAATACCGAGGGTGGCAGATTCCAACCTGGCCCCGGCCAGTTAAAACAGCAGTGGCAACTGCAACAAAAAATAGCCAAGCGTTGTGGCAGGAACCTGTAGTCCCAACTGCTCAGGAGGCTGATGCAAGAGAATCGCTTAAGCCCAAGAGTTGGAGGTTGCTGTGAGCTGTAACACCATGGCACTATACCGAGGGTAACAGAGTGAGACCGTCTCAAAAAAAAAAAAAAAAAAAAAAGATGGAAAACTTAGCATGTAGGCTTGCCTCTTAGGATTTTGAAAACAAATATTTTCTTAAAGTTTAATAAAATACTATGGTTTGCATGATTGTGCTTTACATAGCCTAAATTAATAATGTTATTATTATTTTTTTTCTTTTCATTTAAGCATCTTTTCTTTGTGTGTTTGTGTGGTTTTTAAATTAAAGACAGGGTCTTGCTCTGTTGTCCATGCTGGTGTGCAGTGGTATCATTTTAGATCTTAGCACTCTGTAACCTCAAAGTCCTGGGCTAAAGTGATCCTCTTGCCTTAGCCTCCAGGCATGAGCCAGGGCATCTTAAGTATAGATGTAGGGTAGAGTTTTATAAAGCTGATCCAGGTTTTTATAATTCAGAGGAAGGAAATGAAAAGCCAGCTTTTTCTTAAATATAAGAATATGCTGACTCATAAGATCTTTTAATTTGTATGACAGTTATGTTGGGATATAATTTACATAACATAAAGCTCAATTCACTTAAAGCATACAATTCAGTGATTTTTAGTGTATTCACTAGAAATTTTAATTTTAGAACATGACCAATGGGTTTTTTTTTTAATAGAACATTTGTTGGCAGTGGTCTTTTTTCAAGGAAGTTATATATAATAAATCTCATTTGCACATATATGTAAAAACATAGAAGCCTAGTACATGGACCATCAAAAACCTTTTAGATATTGATAGTTATTTGGAGAGATTGGCTGGACATGGTGGCTTATGCCTGTAGTCCTAGCACTTTTGAGAGGCTGAGGTGGGAGTATCCCTTGAGCTCAAGAGTTAAAGACCAGCCTGAGCAAGAGTGAGACTCTGTCTCTACTAGAAATAGAAAAAATAATTAGCCAGATGTTGTGGTGGGTACCTGTAGTTCCAGCTACTCAGTGAGGGAGGAGGGGCTGAGAGAAGAAGATTGCTTGAGGAGTTTGAGGTTGCTATGAGCTAGGCTAAGACCATGGCTCACTCTAGCCTGGGCAACAGAATGAGACTCTGTCTCAAATAGGAAAAGTATAACATCAAGTAGGGATGAGCAAATTGAGTTCCCAAATGTAATCTTCAGCCTGATTGATTTGTAGGCTTCTTGATCTAGCTGCTAGTCAAGTTTTAGGAAGCATAAATTAAAACAAACTGACACATGTCTGTTCCTTTCTCCCTTTACCCCAAATTTGGAGGCTTAAGTTCTCATAATTCTATTTTCAACTTCTGTTGTTCTCAGAAGTAGCCGATGAATAATGTGTAAAAGCAAGATCTTGTCTGTTTTTCCATGTGGCTTCATAGTTGGCTATCTGGCCTTTTCTCCTTTGTGGGAGGAAGTATGAAATAGTAATCTGAAAGGATGGAAAATGAGTAGATTTGGGAAGTACAGTATGATAGTTGAGCAACATCAAGGGCCTGCTTGAGGTTAGTGATCAGATTGAATGTTTTTTATAGTCATGACATGTTTAAGAGAGAGTGATTTTACCTGAGATAAAGCAGTGAATGATAAATAGATGTTCTTGTTAATATTTAACTGCAGGTTAAGGCTTGATACTAACCTTAGAGTTGGAAGGTATCCATTAGCAAACAGCAAACACCTAGGTGAGTTGTGACTACGTCATTTCATTTTGTGGTTATTAAAAACTAACACTTGCTTTATCTGGAAGGGTAAGTATAAACTCCAGAGAATCATCTTATATGTCTATTTATATTAAATATTGAAATTTAACCTGGACTCACTGGTGACCTGACATGATTAGCAAGTATTAATATTTATTAATGGAGTGCATGTTTAATATTTATGTGTACTTACAAGCAAAATTAATGCATACCAGGAGTTATGCTTAATATAATGCTATTTATGTTCTTAAAAAAGCAGCTCCAGGCTGGGCACCCCTAGCTCAGTGGTTAGGGTGCTGGCTACATGCTCCTGGGCTGGGTGTTTGAACCTGCCCTGGGCCTGCTCAACAAACCAACAAACAAATAGCCAGGTGTTGTGGTGGGCGCTTGTAGTCCCAGCTACTAGGGAGGCTGAGACAAAAAATTGTTTGAACACAATAGTTTGAGGTTGCTATGGGCTGTGACGCCATGGTACTCTACTGAGGGTGACCAAGTGAAACTGTCTTAATAAAAATAAAGAAAGAAAGAAAGAAAACTCTATAGAAACAGGATTTTTATTTTATTTTTTGTTCACTTGTATCCTAGAACAGTGCCTTGACAATAATTATATCTCAAATTTTTGAAATTGTATTTTTGAAGCAGTGAGGGAATGTTGTAATTTTCACTTATGCAACTAGGACTGACACTGGACTAAGCATTTTATATTATCTCATTTAGTCTTTGTGATATTCCTGTGATAGATTCTATAATCATCTGTATTTTTTATAATTGGGATTTGGAGAAGTGCTGTCGAGGTCACAGGGTAGCAAATGATAGAGCTGAGATTTTGAACCTACCTTCTCTGCTTCCAAAGCAATTGCTTTAAACTCTGCCATCTTAGCTAAGATTCTTTGGGTGCAAGTTATAGAAATAAACTTGAACTTGATTAAACAAAAAGGAAGAATTTATTATAAGGATATAGGGTGTTTTATGAAAACCAAGGGTTATGCATCTGAGCCTAAGGTGGGAGTGGAACCAGATATCGAACTCTTACCAGAGCTCAAGGAGATCTTCCTGTGTGCATTTCCTTCATTTTCTCAACTTTTCTTCTTTCTTCTACTTTCCTGTGCTGTTTTGGCACCCACCGAAGTTACCCCTAGGTCATTTCCCACTTGCAAGTTGGCAAGGCTGGCCAAGCTTGTATCAGGATATTTGCTCCTGCATCAGTGGCTGTATGGTCATGGGACTAGATCTCCAAAGTATGACAGTGACTGCAAAGGGACCATTTCTTTGGGCCTAAGGATAGCTCTTGAGCTGGGTGAACATCATAATGACACAGTGATGTTCTATTGAGTCAAATGTTTTTGTAAAACTTGTCTATGCCGTGTAATAAATACATTTTTTTTACATGGCAACTCAGTATTTTTAAGATGAGACCAAACCACACAATACTTAGTCTCACTGTGTGTGAGACAGTTTTGTGTTTTTTTCTTCTCTTTCATTCAAGAGCTTTTCATTTAAGAAACTTTAAATTACAACCCATTAAGTTGAATTTACAGTCCAGTAATGGGTTGTGACCTACAAATGGAAAAATACTTCACTCTGCACACAAGAGCGTCCTAGGTGAAAAGTTGTCCTTTGTTCTTTAGTCTGTGGCATTGCCTTATAAGTGAGATTGCCTTGTGGCAAAATAACTTGGATCATTTGAGTAACTAAATCTCAACATTGACCTACAACCTCTATTCTAGGGAAACAATTTGTATTTTTTAGAGTGAATTAATATTGAAATTTATTTCTATTGATGATGACCTGTAAAAAAAAATCATTAAAGACTTCAGTGCCCGGCTCATGTCCCATTTTCTTATTTACCTTTTTCAAAAGCACTTGTGGTAAGTTGCTAGATAGTTAACATCACATTCCTTCTTAATAATTGCATCTCTAAAGCAGGTTTAATGTTTATTTTTATACTTGAAAGAGAAATGAGAATCTCAGTTCTTATTTTCACTTAAAAAAAATAATGAGGCCAGAGAACATACCAAACTAATCCTCTGTAGGCCTCAACTTAAGGTTTTATTTCTGAAGGCTAATAATAATTTCAATTTCTTTGTTTTTGGTGATTTTAATCATATAAAATGTATCAAGAATCTGAAAATCGGTAAAGAAAAACACAGTTGGCCAGTGTAAGTAACATCAAATAAACCTGTTATACTTAGCCCTATTTATCTAAGAGGAGAAGGTAGAAATAGAGATTTTATTTTCAGACTTGCAAAGTCTCTAATCTGGCATCTATCATCTCTACTTGTCATAAAGAAACAGTTTATTGTTTATTTTTAATGAGTACCAAATTGGCCAATAGGAAACAGTAATCCTTCACTGAGATACAGATGCTATGGTAGTTAGTAAGGTTCATTCACTGTCTTTATACTTCCTTCCATATATAGCTTCACCACAGAGAGACTTTTGGAGTGTCTTGATTCTAAAGTAATGATAAATTTGTAAATGCCAAGGATCTACTGTATTGGAATCTAATTAGACTTTCCTGATATTTGAAATGGAAGCCTTGTTACTGAAATTCTTGCAGCTGTAGAGAGAGAATGAGTATGATTCCTTCCTTTTGTTCCAGGTGGTTGGAGACGAGGGAGAAACTCTGAAGGCAATGCGCCTGTGCTGCTGCCTTCCCATCTTCTCATAACCATCTCGTAGTTAAGAGATAGACACCAAACTTCACCTAGTTCTGCACACTCATCACACTCATGGCCCTCCTTCCATCTTCCTTTGACTAAGGGATAACATTTCTCTCTTATCCTTTGAAGTAGAAGAGTTGTTCTCACTTTTTGTTCAGCACAAACTTCATTTTTATTTTAAAATTTTTTATTAAAAATTTTTTTTTCTTGTAATGTTTAGAAGAAAGCACAGACTTTTTTGTTGTACTTTAGTAACTATGCTAGGGATATAGCATAGTTGGTTGGGCAGGGACTAAGGCTTTTTTTTACCCCTGGTACCCTTTTATTTAATTCAGAATAAATAGACACCTTTTTTAACCTTATTGCCATGGTGACATATAGCAGGACATAATTTATTCAGTCTTAGAGAAGAATTTCTTAGGAGAAATGCTACTTATTACTCAAAAATGAGTCATAATCTCATTTGAAACTTTGAGAAGAATTTTTTTCTTTTTTCCCTTAGTGGCCTTGGACCCTTGCTTTCAAGCTAAAACTGTAAGAAAGTCAACTATACCACATACGTTATAGGTAGGGCTTTTATTATATTATACTTGAATTATTATTTAATTTTTCTGTAAGAAGATGTATGCAGGGTACCGGAGTGATTTATAGACCAACTTTTGGAGATCCCCTGTGTTCTAAAAAGCAGGATATTTGGTTTTTTCCTTGAAACTAGAAAGATTTTATGTTTGGCAGGGATCATCATTTGGATTGGTTTACCCTTGTTTACCCTTTTTTAACCTGTACTTCTATTATTTTACTCTGTGGGAAGGATTTAGTCCTATTTCTAATTTTAAATGAAGAATAAACTTTAAAGAATAATTAAAATACTAAAAGATCTGCTGAGGCATAGATAACATAAATTATATTCAAAAGGGGAATAAATTTTTGAACAGCTTTGAAGTAATTTCATCGTTCTTTTAATGCCTTTAGAAATGTTATTATCTACTTTGTATCTTTTGCTTATGGTTGAATGTTATTTAATTCATTTCTGAGCATTTCTCTGTGATATTTATACTTATTATAAATTTTGGGGTCAGTCTTTTTTTCAGGTGGAATAATAATTGTTGACTAGATTTGTTTTACATTTTTTTCTCTGTTTTAGGATTTCCTAACATTTTGTTTTCCTCTGACAGTTACTTGAGTAGTAATGTATTTGTCTATTACTAATTACAGTTTTTATTTTATAACAGATTTATACTTAAAACTGGAAGATGTGACCCATAAATTTAATAAGCCCTGTATAATGGATGTAAAAATAGGGCGTAAAAGCTATGATCCTTTTGCCTCATCTGAGAAGATTCAGCAACAGGTCAGCAAGTACCCATTAATGGAAGAGATTGGGTTCTTGGTGCTTGGCATGAGGGTAAGAGTGATTATTAGTATAATATACACATTTCTCCCCACATGTTTTTCTCTTGAAAATTATGGATGTCATTTGTACATAGTAATACTAATGTATCAGAAGATAATATATTAGAAGGCTTAAGTTGAGGTCCAAAATAAATTTTTAAAAGTAAATGTGATACTATTTATGATTTTACCATGAGAAAAGTGCTAAATTTATAAATTTGGTACTTTTTCTATATTTTTAAAATAGAAAAGAGAAATTAAAAATTAGGTCATTTCAGATTTTATGATTTAATATATTAGTTTTATTTGCTCACAATTCTGTGGATATGCAATTCAAGTAGGGCTAAGTGGACAGTTCTTCCACTGGTCTTACATAGGGTCCCTGCAGTCATCTGAAGGCTCAGCTGGAGCTAGGTGGTCTACAGTGACCTCATTCTTATGTCTGGAAGTTGGTACTAAGTGTTGACTGGGTCATTTTCTCTGTGATCTTACCCATCAGAAGGCCATCTTGGTTTTTTTCATGTCACTATTCTATATTCCAAGAAGGTTAGAGCAGGAGCCACAAGGGTTCTTGAACTCTGTGTTGGGAAGCTAATTGCTGTCACTTCTGTGAAATTCTGTAGGTCAAAGTCTAGCATATATGGCCAGCACATTGTTGGTAGAGGAGGACTAGACTCTACTTGTGATGGTGGGGAAAATGAAGTCACAACTCGAAGTAGCAATGTGTTTAGGAGTGGTAAGAATTATTGAGGCTATTTTGCAAACAGTATGCCACAGTCAAGAAGTAATAGGGAATAAAATCCTCTAAATAAATGCTGCATCTTCTAGATGTGTAGAAGAAAAATTTGTGATATTCCAAATGCTTGCTTAAGCACAATAAGTAATTTTGAAATTCATGTAAGATAATATATAGATCTTCTTTTTTGAGTTTTAAGCAGGAAGCAATTGTAGATGAATTTTTAGTGTGATGGTAGTAATATCACAATTGAATTTGATAGTCTGATCATACAGAAAAATCGTTCAAGCAGTTCTTTCTTTCTTTCTTTTTTGTTTTTTTTCTGGAGATAGTGTCTCACTCTGTCATCCTTGGTAGAGTGCCATGGACTCAGGCTAGCTCACAGAAACCTCAAACCCTGGGCTCAAGTGATTCTCTTGCTTCAGCCTCCCTCCCTAGTAGCTGGGATTACAGGCTCCTGCCACGACTCCCAGCTAGTTTTTCTTTTTTTAGTAGAGAAGGGCTCTTGCTCTTGCTCTGGCTGGTCTGGATCTCCTGAGCTGAAGCAGTCTACCCTCCTCAGCCTTCTAGAATGCTTAGGATTACAGGCATGAGCCACTGCGCTGGGCTACTCAAGCAGTTATTTCAATTTGGAAAATTATAATTAAATGTGAGTATACATTTTATTTATTTATTTATTTTTTGGAGACAGTCTCACTTTGTCTCCCTTGGTAAAGTGCTGTAACATCATAGCTCACAGCAACCTCAAACTTTTGGGCTCAAGCGATTCTCTTGCCTCAGCATCCAAAGTAGCTGGGACACAGCTACAACGCCCAGCTATTTTTAGAGATGAGGTCTTGCTCTGGCTCAGGCTGGTCACAAATCTGTGGGTTCAAGCAGTCCACCCACCTCAACCTCCCAGAGTCCTAAGATTACAGGCATGAGCCACTGTGCCCAGCCTAAATGTGGGTATATATAAAAGGAAAAAAGGGTAATGGGTAATGGGGTAATGTTAAACATACAAGAAATAAACATCCCATAGGAATCTGACTGGGCAACTATTTAGACCTCCACTGTTTCCAACTCTCTCACCCTCCCACTTTCTCTTGGCAGATGCCTTTGCCTTCTGCTTTAGAAAAAATAGGTCTCAGATAAAAGAATTTCCGTTAATTTCTTGACCTCACACAGACGCACATACCCACCCACCTCTATCTTACCTGCAATTGCTTTTATTCCCTCTTTATTCCTTCCTGTCACACTGAAGAATTTTCCATCCTCCTTTCTAAGGGCAGCCCTTCTCTATGCCCACCGGATCACTTTCCCTCTTGCCTCTTTAAGAACCTTATAGTATTGATTCTCTCTTGTCTTTCTTACATCTTTTGACATCTGTCTCTCTTTACTGGCTCTTTTTTCCCTTTTGTTTTAAATATGTTCAACTCATTCTAAATTTTTAAAAAACAAAAACATGAAAACCTCACCTTTACTCTGCTGTGCTTTCTGACTGCACATTTAATTTATTTTCCTTTTTACAGCCATACTGGTCATTTCTGTTTCCTTATATCCCCCTCAATATTCAGCCCAATCTGGCTTCTGTCCCATTATACAGGTTCCTAATGACACTTTTATGTCACTATTTCTAAATGGAATTGTTATTTCTGGACTTTGAATTCTATTTCATTGTTTGTCCTCATGCCAGTACCACACAGTCTAGATTGACATAGCTTTGGAGTAAGTTTTGAATTGTGAGTCCTCCAACTTTGTTCTTTTTCAAGATTTATTTATTTATTTTTGGCTATTCTGAGTCCTTTAAGTTTTCACATGAATTTTAGGATTAGCTTCTCAGTTTCTGCAACAAAGTTGCAGGTGGGATTTTGGTAGGGGCAGGTTGGATGTGTAGATCAATTTGGGTTTCCCTGTTTTTGCTTTCATAGTTTCTTCCAGGTAACACTTAACAGTTTATAATTAGGTATTATGTACTTAACTAAGAAAGGATATGATTGAAGTTTGAAAATGATAATGTGAATATAGATTTAATTATATAATTCTAGAATATTAAAACTGAGAGATAAACCATGTGATTTAATTACATTAGTATTAGAATTAATTTTTAAAAATAGTTTATTTCTTTAGTAGGTGGTAAATTCATTGAACTTTTAAAATCACAGTGGGTTTGTAGACTGGTAATAATAATAGACTCTGATAATTTTAGAATTAATATTCTATATTTAAAAAATTTCCTTCCAGGAAATTCATGCTTTTAACTAAAATACCCTTGATATCATTGAATAGACTATGAAGCTTGCCAAATATATCAATTTTTAAATATTTTTCTGTTATCATGTTTAATAGTAGTAGAAGAGGTTTAGTAGGTAGACTAACTTGCCTGTTTTCTGTGGTGATTTTAGGAACTGTTTGTTTTTAAATGACATAGTAATTATACTGTATTCTCTTAAGCCCCAAATAGTATAAATTGTAAAGTTCACATTGATTTTAATAAAAAGATTTACAGAGATATGTATTATAACAGAGGTAGGAAGAAAATAGAACTTGTAGGAGCAAGGGAATCAAAAGAGGAGAGTGTCAGATGATTTTGGAAAGAGTGGATTTTTAAACTGTCAACAGAGGATAGTAATCAGTAGAAAACGATAAAGCAGAGCATCTTGTGTGTAAGGTGGCTGTGGTGTACTGTATATGTTGTAGGGGGTGTATGTTATCTTAAAATACCAGACTTAAGAGCATTTCATACTGTATCAGCGACTTTCTTTGGGATATAGTAGTTTTTTGAAGTGTCTTTGTAGATTAACTGTTATAAATTAAATGTTTTTCCACTTTGTATTAACCTTGAAATGTATGCTGTTTAATTATAGGGATTTATTATGTTTACCAAATGTAATTGAAATATGATTTGTGGAAATTTATCTGAAATTTTTAAAAACATGCATTTCAACATTTTGGATGATTTAATTTTTAGGTGTTTCAATATATTTTTGGCCACAACTTAAATTTTTGACTAATATCGTTTGAGGAGAAATAACGTTTTCTAATCACTGGTTCCTAATTACTCAGAGAAAAAATACTTTTAATCTTTATTGGTCATATTGTCTAAAACTCAGATTCTTTCTTTGTATTTTTTTTAAATAGGGTAGGTTAGTAACACTTCAGAGTCTTCTGTCCCATAAATTGAGTTAATGTGAAATATGTTTTGCTAAAGATAGTTGAATTTGTTTGTGCCTGACATTTTAAGTTCATATGAAATGAACAACTTTTATGGTACACATAGGGTCTAGGAAGAACTATAACTTGCCTTGGCTTGTCATTCTGTTCTCCTACATGTTTCCCACCCTTCTTTCCATTTAAAAAAAAAAAAGATATCATTTTTGCTACCTACTTTTATGTTTTTAGGGTGGGAATGTAACTGATTACCAAAATCTTTGCTGCTGGCCAGGAGCAGACAGTGGGGAGAGATTGGAGAAACACTCAGATCTCTTTCCATTCCAGCTTTAGTAAAGCAGGAATAAACAGAGGGAGAGAATGGTGGTAAGGAAGTTCCACTGAAACTATTTTAGCTTTTAGTCTATATGTGAAATTTAGATGCCTATGTGTGAAATTGAATTTGGCTCAGATAATACACTCTGAATAGTAGAATGATGACAATTTTTATTTTTAGAATCCTAAGCATATTTATATGTATAGGGAATGTGAGTTTTAAAAAAATACATTTTATGTGTACTTAACTGTTCTTATAAAGATAACTAATTACATGCAATTTTTGGTATTTATAAAATGCTGTCTTCCATTCATAGGAACACTTTATTCAAGAAAACTTTTCTTCCCTAAATAGGCTGTGTGAGTGTGTGTAAGAACATGGTTGTATTTGAACTTTTTCTTTTTTCTTTTTTGAGACAGAGCCTCAAGCTGTTGCCCTGAGTGGAGTGCTGTGGCATCACAGCTCACAGCAACCTCCAACTCCTAGACTTAAGTGATTCTTTTGCCTCAGCCTCCCAAGTAGCTGGGACCACAGGCACCCGCCACAATGCCCAGATATTTTTTGGTTGTAGTTGTCATTGTTGTTTGGCAGGCCTGGGCTAGATTCGAACCTGCCAGCTCTGATGTATGTGGCTGGCACCTTAGCTGTGAGCTACGAGTGCCAAGCCATATTTGAATTTTTTCAATGAGTGAAGCATTTGGGAAACGGAATTATATCAGACTAAAAGTTATAGAAATCCAATTTCCGAATACATATAGTCTTTTTTTTTTTTTTTTTTTTTTTTGAGACAGAGTCTCACTGTTGCTCAGGCTAGGATGCCATGCCATCAGTCTGCCTCACAGCAAACTGAAACTCCTGGGTTCAAGTGACCCTCCTGCCTCAGCCTTCCAAGTGGATGGACTACCAGTGCCTGCCATAACCCCTGGCTAGTTTTCTATTTTTAGTAGAGACGGGATCTCACTCTTGGTCAGGCTGGTGTGGAACTCCTGAGCTCAAGCAGTCCTTCCATCTTGGCCTTCCAGAATGCTAGGATTATACGTGTGAGCCACTGTGCCCCAGCCTGAATACACATAGTGTTAATGCTCTCAATAAAAAGTTAATTTTGTTGGAGATGCATAGTTAATGTGATTCAAACTTCAAATATATACAGGCATTCCTCAGATACAGTGGGTTCAGTTTCAGACTATGGCAATAAAGTGAATCTTGTAATAAAGCAAGTCACACAATTTTTTTGGTTTTCTAATGCTTAGAAAAGTTGTTTACCCTATGCTGTGGTTTGTTAAATGTTCGGTAGCATCATGTCTTTTAAACAGTGTATATACCTTAATGTTTGATTGCTAAAAAGTGCTAACCGTCATCTGAGCCTTTGGCAGGTTTTTGTTTTTTTCCTGGTAGAGACGATCTTGCCTTGATGTTGACGGCTGCTGATTGATCAGATCAAGGTGGTAGTTGCTTGATGGCATTTTCTTACAGGAGAGGACTGTCTTATCTACATTGAAAATTTGTTGCTTGATATAGCCACCTTCATCTGTTACCATAGCTAGATATTCTGGATAGCTCAAAGCTTCTACTTCAGTACTTGCTGCTTCACTTTGCATTTTTATGTTATAGAAATGGCTTCTTTTCTTAATCCTCATGAACCAACCTCTGCTGGCTTCCAACTTTTCTTCTATAGGTTTCTTACCTCTGTTAGCCTTCATAAAATTGAAGAAAGAGCTTTTCTCTGGATTGGGTTTTGGCGTAAGGAAATGTGGCTTGTTTGATCTTACATCCAGACCACTAAAACGTTCTCCATACCAGCAATAAAGCTGTTTTGATTTCTTCTTTGTATGTTCACTGAAGTAACACTTCTAATTCCTTTAAGAACGTTTCCTTTACATTCACATCTTGGTTGTTTGGCCTAAGAGGCCTAGCTATTGGCCTGTCTTGGCTTTTCACAAGCCTTCTTCATTAAGCTTAATAACTTCTGATGTAAAGTGAGAAATATGCAACTCTTCTTTTCACTTTACTGTTGAGAGGCCATTATAGGGTTATTAATTGGCCTAATTTCAATAATGCTGTGTCTTAGGCAATAGGGAAGCCCAAGGAAAGAGAGAGAGAGATGAGGGAAAGGCTGACATTTATCAGTTAAATTCTCACCTGACATGGTTGTGGTTTGTCACAATACTAACATCAGAGGTTACTGCACAGATCACTATAGCAGATAAAATAATAATGAAAAAGTTCAAAATATTGCAAGAACTACCAAAATGTGACATAGAGACACAAAGTGAACATATGCTATGGGAAAAATAGTGCTGATTTGTGCTTGATACAAGGTTGCCACAAATCTTTAATTTTTAAAAAATGCAATAAAGCAAAACAACAGTAAACAAGATCGGCCTGTATAGTGAGGAGACAGCCTTTATACAAGATACTGTATTAGAGTTATTTCCCCCCCCAATATTTCCTTCTACAGAAGTTTTAGACATAGAAATACTACATATATATGTTCTTTTATTATGAAACCTACCCTTAACATTGTTCTGTATCTTGCTTTTTTCTCCTTTATCATGGAGATCTCATAGTGGCATGGTATTATTATACCATAATTTTGCAGTCTTTTTGCAGTTAAGAAATGTTATAGGGAGAAACCACAGACCTACCTCATTCTACCATTATGCTAGTGCATTTATGGGATAAGTTATTAAAAAGGAATTGCAGGGCCTATCTGCATTTATAGTTTTGATAAATATTGGCAGTTTGCCAGATATAGAGCAGTGGTTTTCAACCAGAGACAGTTTTTTACCCCCAAGGAGGCTTTTGGCAATGTCTAGTGATGTATTTGGTTGTCAAAACTTAGGAGGAAGGGCTGTGCACTTGGTATATTTGAGAGCTGTTCCATTTCTGTGAACTCTTCAGATCCTTTGTTCACTTTGCATAAATTACATAAATATGCCTTTTCTTCATTGTATAAATTTCAAACAGTTCTTTGTGTTTTGATATCTATGTGGCAAAAACACTATACACACATAGAAATGATAAATGCTAAATACCCCGATTTGATCATATTCTATGCATACATGTGTACCCATAAATATGTACGAATATCACCTATCAAAAAAACCAACTGTGAAAATTTTAAAAACATAATGTATGTGGTAGAAAACCTGAGTTTTGGTTGCAAATCCCTCCCTTGGCTGTCAGGATTCTTCTGTGCTTGGGGGCGGCGGGGAGGTTCTTTTTAACTTTTTTGTTGTTCATTTTGATCTTTGATGCATTTGGAATTTTTATGGTATGAGGTATGAATACAACTTATTTTATTCGAGATTGCTACTTAGACTAACATGGTTTAATAAATAATCCATTTTTCCCACTGATTTAAAATCCCATTATCACATACTAACGTGATTCTAGAATTTAATGTCTGGGAGGTTGGTAAGGTCAGTCCCACTTTATTATTAATCTTATTTCAGTTATTCCTGGCTCTTGTTTTTGTTGTAGACTTCAGGGTTAGTTTATAGGGTTAAAAATAAAGTTGGTGTTTTTATTATGATCTCATTTTAGTTGTAGATTAATTTACAAAAACTTGATATCTTTTATGATGTTGAATCTTCTCTGAGAACATGAGCGTGTGTTTTAGGAATGATTTAAAGATGTCTTAGGAATGTTTTCAAAATGTCTTTTTATAGATCTTGTGCTTGGTTTATTTTGATAGGGGTTTGTAGTTGCATTTTGTAAGGAGGTCTTTTTGTCCATTGCATTTTCTAACTATATATGAGAGCTTATTTTCTGTTTACTAATTTGTACTCAACTGCCATTTCACATTTTTGTTTGCATTTGTTTTTCAGTTTCTGTATAATCTACAAAGAGTAATAATTTTGTCTCTGTCTTTCCAGATTATTATACATCTAGTTTCTTTTTTTTGTTTATTTACATTTGCTAGTAACTCTGTAATAGTACAATAATTTGATAAATAGACACTGTGGTTGAATACTTTTTGTTGTAGAAGCTTCTTATATTTTAAAAAAAATGCTTTCTTATTTCCCCTTTAAACTTGAGGCTAACTTATGGTGAGTTGAGATACTAATATATAATTTTATCATACTAAAAATATTCATCCTTGTATCACAAAAAGATTTTTTTTCATCATAAGTGTATGTTAGATTTGTTAAATGCCTTTTCAGCATCCATTGATATGACTATATGATTATTTTCTTCTCAAATCTTTTAGGATGAACTATGAGTAGATCTTGTCTTTTATCCTTGAGTTGCTAAAATAAACCACACATGGTCAAAGATTCTTAGTGTTTAATATTCACTGCTTTTTTTGACAGGTTTATCATGTTCATTCTGATAGCTATGAGACACAAAACCAGCACTATGGAAGAAGCTTAACAAAAGAAACTATAAAAGATGGTAAGGACTAAAAAACTAAAGCTTTTATTATTGGATAGCTAAAATAATTCTAAAGTTAGTTCACTGGTTCACTGATATATCACCATTGATATTCACTGGTTTCATGATACACCCAAACCATACAACCATGATTGGTTCTCCTTTATATTTCCATTTATTTCTTATTAATATACTTTTTTAATAAAATGAGCATCCACAAACCAACCATTTAGCTGAACACTATAATAGAACTAGAATTGTCTTTAACATCATTTTTGAAGTAACTGCATCTTACATAAGAGACTTAAAAATGTGTATTGTAGTATATGATGTCTTTTTATTGAAATTTACCAACTATAGTTGAGCCATATTATTACAAGCTTCTGAGCTACATAATGAATAATCAAATGGCATTACACTGATTTAAAGCCTGTTAACATACATGTTTCTAAAATATTTGTGGGCAAAGTGTTATAAAAGCAGTATATCCTAGATTCTTGGAAATACTATATTTGAAGTTTATTATTGAGAACAAATAAAAATGAGTTGTGGTTTGCTATTTGATAATGGGTTGTTGATACCATTAAAAATGATTATAGCTGGGTATGGTTGCACATGCCTACGTTCCTAGCTACTGAAAAGGCTGAGGGAGGAGGATTACTTGAGCCCAGGAGTTCGAGGCTATAGTGAGTTATGATCACAACACTATACTCCAGCTAGGGCAAAAGAGTGAGATCTCCTTCATTAAAAAAAAAAAAAAAAAGTTGAGGGTGATACCTGTGACTCAAAGGAGTAGGGTGCCAGCCCCATACCAGGTGTGGTGGGTTCAAGCCTGGCCCCAGCCAAAACTGACGAAACAATAAAAATAAAAATAAATATATAAAGAAAAAGTTGGCAGTGCCGTAGTTCAGTGGGTAGGGTGCAGACCACACACACCCAGGCTGGCAGGTTTGAACCTGGCCTGGGTTAGCTGAAACAACAATGACAACTGCAAAAAAAAAAAAAAAAAAAGCTAGGCATTGTGGTGGGTGCCTGTAGTCCCAAATACTTGGGAGGCTGAGGTAAGAGAATCACTTAAGCTCAAGAGTTTGAGGTTGCTGTGAGCTGTGATGTCACAGCACACTACCCAGGGCGACAGCTTGAGACTCTTTTTCCCCCCCACCCCCCAAAAAGAAAAAGTTATTAGCGAGGTGCGTGAGCTCAGGAGTTCAAGACCAACCTGAGTGAGGGCGAAGGTAAGACCTTGTCTCTACAGAAAATAGAAAAAGTGGCCAGGTTTGGTGGCGTGCACCTGTAGTCCCAGCTACTCAGGAGGCTGAAGCAGGAAGATTACTGGAGCCCAGGAGTTTAAGGTTGTAGTTAGTCATGATGAAGTCATTCTACTCTAGCCTGGGCAACAGAGTGAGACCCTGTCTCAAAAAAAAGGGTTATAATTCGACTCTAAGTTTTAGATTAGCTCTTAAATGTGATTCTGACAAACAAGTGACTTTACTGTAAGGTCCTTCAAAATATAAAATGAAAGAAATCTTAGAATCATATTTCTTAAGAGAATATTTAGAGACAACTACTCGTCTACGTGTAATAAATTTTGTCTAAATAGGATATTTCACATTACATTAGTGTCATTTAAATGCTTTCTAATAAGAGCATCTTCACCGAAAATTGATGTCTAAGTTTCTGTGGCTGCCTAGAATTCTTAATTTTAAAGGATGATGGGGAAAAAATTGGAGAATTTGATCTATGGTGAATTTATTTTCCAAGTGATAGCCCTTTCATAATTTGATTTTAATCCTAATTTTATTTTTCTTATAGGGGTCTCCAGGTTTTTTCATGATGGGTTCTGCTTAAGAAAAGATGCTGTTGCTGCGAGTATTCAGAAGATTGAGAAAATTCTTCAATGGTTTGAAAACCAGAAGCAGCTTAATTTTTATGCAAGTTCATTACTATTTGTTTATGAAGGTTCATCTCAGCCAACCACTACAAAATCAGACAGAACTTTGGCAGAAAAGTTTTTGTCCAAAGGACAACTTTCAGACACAGAAGTACTGGAATACAATAATAACTTTCATGTGTTAAGTTCGACAGCAAATGGAAAAATAGAAACTTCAGTAGGCAAAAGTTTGTCCAAAGTGTATGTTCGTCACAGAAAAATGTATTCAAAAAAGCATCACAGTCAGACTTCATTGAAAGTTGAAAATATGGAGCAAGACAATGGGTGGAAAAGCATGTCACAGGAACATTTAAATGGAAATGTACTTTCCCAACTGGAAAAAGTTTTCTACCATCTTCCCACTGGTTGCCAAGAAGTTGCAGAAGTAGAAGTACGAATGATAGATTTTGCTCATGTGTTTCCTAGCAACACAATAGATGAGGGATATGTGTACGGGCTAAAGCATTTAATTACTGTACTTCAAAGTATTTTAGACAGTTGAATCCTTTGGAGTCTTTTTAAGGGGTGGGCCAATCATAATGAAGAACAGCAGTCAGTATCTCTGCACCTGTAATGCTATGTACAAAATTTGTATTGTGAGTCAGCATTTTATTTGTCTTTATACTTTTGGAAGAAAGGTTAACTTTTTTATAATCTTACTCAGGAAAACTAATTATTTGTTCATTAGAAAACTATGAAGAATAAAGAAACTTAGGAATGTTAAGCAGGGAATGTGGTGGTACATGGCTTAATCATCTATTTGTCTCAAGCAAAAATGCAAACCATTAGTTAGTCATTAAGAGTTTAGTTAGCTTTCTATAGCTGATTTATCATGAAATTTCTGTCCACCCTACTTTGACAATAAGCAATATCTAAACTATTAGATTAGTTGAACACCCACAAAAATCTAGAAAGCACAGGTTGATGTCTGTATTGATATGTTATAAAGTTATTAAAACTGGAGAAAATTTTACTTCAGAAATAAGTACTGTTTAGGTTTTAGGTTTTGTATTAAGAGTTCAGACCAGCATATCAGAAGGTGCTTCTTAGTGAAATGATACAGAATTATTGCATTCCAAAAGCAGGTTTTCCCTTTAATTTTCATTTACATATATGTTTAAAAATACTGTACTTTATAAAAAGGTAATGACATGGACAAAAATAACAACAACAAAAATCTTGAAATTAAGGGCACTAATTATTCTCACCATGGTTAAGAGGAGAAGTTATTTGCAGTGAACAAAATATATTTTTTTAAATCTTCCATTTGTGTTAAAATTGAAATATACTTTCTACATTGTGAAAAGTGAGATATACTAGCTTTTATAGCTTCAAAAAGGTGAATGATTGAAGGTTTGCTTATTTTTCCTTTAACTTTTGAAGTTTTTTTCCTTTTACATTAATATATTTATATGTCCCCTTTTGGTTAAGCAGTAGTTTAAAATGTACACTGCTAAAAATAGTGTTTCTCAGAATTCTCTAAAATCAGTAAAAGACAAGATCCAGTTGTGTGTTATCGAAAGTACTGTGTGTAGATTAGTGCATCATATGTGGTTTGGTACATATCTAAATCCATGGTTCTATTTCACTTTTATTCAAAATATATTTTATATCATATTCAATAGAGAAGTTATAATTTAATTCATGGGGGCAGGGACAATGTTACTTTTCCTGGAAAAATTAGATTTCTAAGTTTTATCTTTGTTTCATACCCACCACCTTTACAAAAATAACTAGTTATTTGCCATTGAAAACATTTAAAACTTTGAAATTGAATTTTTAAATACATTTGGTCTTAATGCTGTCATTACTTGCACTTTGATTTACTTATATTTCTAAGTAGTTTAACAGTTTTTCCATATTCCTGGAAAGTGTTGTTTGGGACTTGTGGTTTATCAGATTTTTTTCCTCTTCTTTTTCTTGTAGAGTTAGAAACTAAACTTCTAAATCTGATGTGGTGTGGAGAAAAACATCACAATTTTGTATTTTATCTTACCTTCCCAACCCTGTCTGGGGATACTTTGCAACTGCCTGAGTCCAAACAGAAGTACGAGATGCTCTGTGAATTCTGTAATTACTAATTACAGAATTAGTAATTTTAGTAGAATTAGTAAATCTGTTAAACCAGAATAACTTTAAAATTCATGTGCATTTTGTTACAGCACAGTTTGATTGCTTTTAATTTTTCATTTAAAATGAGTATGAGAATTGGAGTGACTTTGTATTTTTTTTCCACTGTCCGTAGGAGTATTGGCTATTTTTTTTTTTTGATTGGAGGGGGATAAATTTCAAGTCACAATTGACAGAAAAATTTTAGTTTTACTTTTTTTCTTTTACAATATGGACTTTGTTGTTGTTATTTGGATAATGGTTCAATAAATTCTAAGCTCAGATAATTAAACACTATTTTGAATCTTAAGAGAGGAGGCTTTTTTTGTGTGAGATGGTATTAGCTTATGTACAATGAATTTAATAAGTATTATCAGATTTTTTTTGCACATTTTAGCTCATTAAAGTCTGAATTAACTGTTCCAGATTTTCTTTTTTGTATTTGGAAATAAGTTTTGTAAAATCAGTGTCTTTTTGATATAATATTAGATCATGTTTTTTATTTTAATAAAACAAGCGCTTTTATCTTTTGTTTTTCAGGGAAGGGATTAACATTTAATTCTGTGTTTACATTTTTTATCACTGTTATCCAATGCTCATTTTATGTTACTTTATAAGTAAGCTTACATGTAACAGAATAAGTATCTGTTTATGTAATCTATGTGTGACTATTTTACAATTATAGTCCAGTCATTTGAGATTATGCTGAAATTTACCACTGTGGGAGATGATGGATCACTGTTCACCTAGTGTATCTGAGTATGTTAAATGTTTAAGAAATAAGCATAATAAGGGGGTAGTTTGGATTAATAGGATTATCTTAGTTTTTCCTCACTAAGAAACTTAAGTAAGATTTTAGTGTATTTCTTAGGGAATACACTCAGTCAAGAAGGACTTTAAGAAATTGGGGATGTGAATAATACATTTCTCTAATAAAAGTTTAAATTGTATAATAGTTTTATAATAAAGTATTTACATTAATTGATATTTTAATATGGATGGAAGTTGCATAGATTCAAATAAATTAAAATCCATGATAAATGCTAAATATTTTATCTAAATAGTTTTTCAAGAAACAATTATGGAAATGTGTATATTAAATTGCTCTAACATGGAGTTTGTGGTATTTCAACTCAATATTCTTTGTTTTGTGTGTCTGGAAAGATTGTACTTACACTACAATTTGCTTTTGTGGAGCTCTAGACTGTGTTCAATGGAGTAAGAACATTTTTCTGAATTTTGAGTGTAACTTAGTATTTTATGATTTCCAAGATGAAGTTCTTCATATTGTGTCTATGGGGTCTATATGTCAAATTTATACCATCATTTAAGAAAAAGGTATTTCTTTAGCTTTTTCAGTTGCAGGATTTTTTTTGTTTCACGTACCTGAAAACATTTGTTTCTAGGGTTTAAAATATTGTAGAAGACAGGGTGAAAGAAAACCGAGCAATGAAAGAGTTTGGGGGGTGAAATTACAGAAATTATGTCCACTATTGTAAATCATTGTCATCATTTTAGGACATTTTCTCTTAGAAGTTTGGCATTTTGTATTTTAAAACTTGATTTACTTTTAAAGTTGTTTACAGTGCTTTGTAATTCTCTTCCTTATCCAGTGCCTTTAACCTTGATTTGATACATTTGTAGGCTCAGTTATCTAATTACATCCTGTAATGTTCTCATAGCCTAGGAGGCGTCAATTTCTTTTTAAAAATTATCAATCTGGTTATCTAAAGAGGTAGCAATTTGCTTTGGGAAAACAAGTAAGGTTGCCTTTGAAGGTCAGGCTTCTTAGTTCATGCAAACGTATTTATTGGGTGTATACCATATGCCAAGCATTTTTAGCCCCCCAATATACAGTTATGAACCAATCAGATAAGGCCCTAAGCCTTGGGAGCTTAAGAGAGAGAAATTTACATTTGAAAATAATAAAGACAATTAGCATTTGATTTTTGGTAAAGGTAAAATAGTAAGAATTGAGTTGAAGCAACTGACAATATGTTAGGTTAGAAATATAATCTTTTGCAGCATTGTAATCTCTATTTGACTTTTGAATTTGGGTAATCATAAATATTATGAAAAAGCCTTAATTTTTCACTTTTACTGGTAAAGGTACACTTACTTAGGCTGTCCACATAGAGTAGTGTTAAACACAACATCACTTTGAAAACATTCCATGACATATTCCCAAGCAGATTAACTGCACATTTTTAGTCGTATTTTACAATTTAGTACACATAGGCCTCCATCTTCAAATCACTGGTATTTTAAATTTGACAGTAAATATGAAATGACTTTCTGACTTAGAATGGTTACATTGTTATTTTAAATAATATTTTGGGAAAGTTGGAGCCTTCATTTTTTTGAGTTAATATTTAAATTCTCATTACTTTAGTAGTCTCTGGTAAATGGAAATAGTAACTCATACAATTAAACAAATCAGTATTATGCTTTTAAGAATTTTTAAAAATTTGAAAATTGTGTCATCATTGGGGTTAAATTTTGGCCTGGTGTTCACTTATATATTAATAGTTCATGAAGTGAAATAGTCTTACATATGATCTATGATGCACCTGCATATAAATGAAAATGGTGTGCACAAAGACACTTTACTATGGGAATTGTACTGGAAGATTTATGAAAGCATGTGAAATTGCACCTAAAATTGTGTTACTAGTGACTATAAGCAGCAATGCTAAATTTATTGTACTTGAATGAATGTATTTAGTCACAATTACTTTGGTTCAAATGTCTAAATGTCTTTAGGGTTTTTTTTTAAATGTATTTGTAATTTGTACTATTGAGGGGGGTGTTCTTGGACTGCAGGGGTTATTGTTAATGTGTGCTTTGTGTTTTTACTTTATAGAATCATCTAATGTGATATACTGATTTTTATAAGTGATATTTAGATAATTCTAATAACTGTATATTTGACAACTTATTAAAATGTTTTGCATTGGAGCTTTTCCCCCATTAATTGTAACATGTTGACAAACTCTAAGTGGTTTAAAAATAACTCATTCATCCAACAAATATTTGAGTGTATGTTATGTACCAGAAGCTATAAGGAATTATTAGGGTCTCAGATGATTAAGACAGGGCCTTGGGAGAAAGAAACACACACATTGGAAATGATAAAGCAGAAAAACTATTTAGAAAGAATGTATTTTCCTGTAATAATTAAAATCAACCAAGTAGAAGAAGTGCACTATAGGAGAAATAACTAGGGCTGTAAAAATATATACTATAATTTTAAAACAAGCAGTAGGTCAGTTTTTTTTTTTTTTTGCGTGTATTTGAAATTTTGTGAGTCGGTTACCTAGTCAGTGACCCACTTATTCTTTTCATTATGAACTTTAAAAAAGGGTACTGTTGAATACTACTGTATTACCAGGCACTATATTTGGCTTTCAGGAGTTTTTAAAAGTTGAATAAGATTCAGCACCTGTTCTTAAGATGTGTGTTGCCTGGTAGAGAAAGAAAACCATGTAAATGTCGGATAAAATGTTACTGTTATAATTGATACCTCTCACTATCCAGCAGGTTTATGAAGAGAGAGGTAGCCCATTCTGATAGCGTGCAAGAGGCGGAAGAGGGTGTGTGAGGTGGGTGATTCCT